TATTTTGTCATTCTTAACGCGTCCTACGAAATTCTTACGAGACAGCACTAGTCCGTGAATTTGTGAACAAGATCGGAGATCTAAAGATGCAATCTCTACCGTGCATCAATGGCGGCCTGCTGGATCTCAAAAGAGATTCTATAATTTTTTAATTTTTTTTTTGTTTTAATTTTAAATAGTTTTGCATTATGTGGCCGTTTGCTGTTTCATGGGTTTTTCCCATTTGCCTGGTCGCTAGCGCATTCTGTTTTTACATTATATCCAGCGCCTTTTGGGTGATCCTGAGGGAATGCTGCAGCCACACCATATTATCTCAATGGTCCAAGATCGCAAAAACTGAAAAAACATGTGGTCGCCTGCTCCGCAGCCGACTGATGATGATGATGATGATGATGGGGGAGTATCGGGGAGGGGGGTCTGCTTCCAACCCCCCAAGAGCACCTCTTAGATACGCCACTGCTACGCAAGTGCGAATATCCAGTGTGTTCGTATGCACCAGTGTTCAAATTGTTTTTGTTTGAACAATTCTATTGTAGTATTGTATTGTAGAATTATTTATATTAATTTTTGTTTTGTGACACCTCAGCGCATAGAGACTCTGTATTATGTCGACAGCGATAACCATTGCCATTATACTGTTTCTATTTCAGCTATAGTCTCATTCTTGGTCTGTTAATATCAATCATTCCCGCTCTTGTTTTTCTTACTTGCCAAATCTCTATTCTAGGAAAAGCAAGTTAGCAACTACGGTACTAATGTGTAGTTTTCATATCTGGAGTGTCACTAACAGGTCAGACTGGTGACGCAGTGTTTTTGATTAGTTTGAAATAATAATACGCGGAGTGTGACTGAGCTCCCAATCAATACGTCTTATGTAAAAATTAGAATAGTTTAATCATGATTGAGTTTATAGATTGGTCAATAATAATAAAAAAAATCGGAAATTTTAACAAGTAAATATTAAAAAAATAACAGCATTGGAGCTCTTTACGTTAACATTAGACAGGTGCTATAATCTATTAAAAGTTCAGATTGTGTTTGGCTTCTCATAATGACTCGGGGCAGGGAAGGAGGTAATTAAGTAAACGACCGGTTACAGTATTGCTGCCGCTAGACATATATAGTACCAGTAATGGTTAAATATGTTTATAACAAAATAAAAACTTCTATTCTTTATTGGTCTAATATATTTAAAATAAATACATCAGAAATTCTTCATTTATACACTGCAATAAAAGGTAAGAAATTCAATATACAATTACATATAAAAGGTTAATTTCAAATAGAAAAAGTTACGTTAAACGGCAAAAACAATTCAATATATACAATTCAAATAAATACTTTAGGTAATACAATAAAATTTACAATTATTAATTAGATTGATATTGATATGATATGATCAAGGTGTTCTCTCCATGGGTAGAAAAAAAAATACTGACGGTCTCTATGCATACGGTGACCTCTACAATTATAAGAACACAGGAACATCATAATTATTTATTCAACAAAAAACAACATTATGTACAATGGCAGCATGTACAGAAGCTGCATGGGCTTGTCTTTTAAATACTGGGACTAAACAGTTTACATTACACACAAGAAAAGAAAAACTTACAACTAGAAAAAAAATGTATAAATATACAGCCAATGATCTAACCAGGAATAGGCGCCCCCACACCCACCAACCAAGACCACGTTTGGTCATGGGTAGCGCCAGCCCCCTCCCCCCTCCGTCGGGGAGAGTTGCCACCCCCCTCTCGTCGGGGAGAAAAAGCATACCGGTAATTCGTCGGGGAGAAAAAAAAAGGTGGGCCTATGTATTTTCTACATATTAGTAGACTCTAAAATCGATTAAATAAGCCTATGAAACCCTTAAATTGTCAACATTTTCGCCCCCTTTTTTTCGCCAACATTTTTCGCCCCCTGGACCACTTTCGAAACCTTTTAATCGAAGTTCGACCACACCCACTTTGCTTTCGACGGGGAAATCTGACCCCTCGTCGGGGACCTCGGCCCCCACCCCGGGCAAATCCTAGCACCACCCCTGCGTTTGGTAAAAGGGAAACTAATTCCCAGTCACAGGTTCCAACCACACACACAGCTACAAACAAAGACCGGTCAATCTGGCGGCCTCCATACAGGAGGAAGACATGCAGTCCCACCTCTCCACGGTCAAATCACTGACTGTATTAAACAAATGATATTACTATTTACATCAGGCCCTAATTAACTAAATTGTAATATATGTTTCAAATATCATCTTCTTAATGTTCTTTTTTTTTTCTTCTTTTTTTGTTTTTGAGATGGGAGGTCATTTTGTTTGGTCCTAAGGTGGTTTTAAGATCATTCTAATAGAATTTACCATTAATAAATATAGATCTTTTACTTGTTTCTAGTCTGTACATATTATTAACATTTCGTAATTTGTTTGCTCGATCTGTTTCTGGTTCTTGTTTCATTATTTTTTCAATAGGGGCTGAGGGTGAAGATGATAATTGTTTTGGTCGTATACTTAATACAGTATATTTATTTTTTTAAAGAGGGGTTTAAAGTAAGTTCTTAAAGTCGGTTGGGGCCCGGTGTTATCTTATGAGAAGCTGCTACAAAAACTTAAATTGGCTGTCTCTAAAGGACCGACGTGATCAAATTTGAATCGCTTACATTCTCACCTATCCATCGTTTCCCTAGTCCCTCTAGTCCTCTCTTCTGAACTCCAATATTCTGCTGTCCACTTTTCCCTCACAGTTTTCTAAAGGCAAATCTATAGACCTAAACTATTCTTATTCGACTCGTAAATTTTTATCATACTTTAATGTACTTTTTCTTTTTGGCCTTTCACTTTTTTAAATACTTTTTTGAAAATTTGTATATTATAGCTAATCATGTAGCTAAGTTAGTTTAGTGTGGTTCCAGACTTCGTCATGGTGCTTTAAGTGTTCCCCAACATTATGTTTTAGTTCTCATGTGAGAAATAAAAGTTTGGCTTCTAACCCATTGTCTTGTGTGTATTAGTATTTGTTTAATGTCTTGGTTTTAGTCAAGAAAAAATAAATGTAAATGAAATGAAACAACAATTTGTTTATTTTTATTACAGGTATTTTCAATAGCGAAGATGGTGTTGAATTACACAGAAAATGACAATGAAGTTTACCGTTATATTCAATTGATGACAATCGGCCTTTTCACCTGTCTGAATATCGTCATCGGATCAGTTGGAAACGCTTTGGTGTTCTTAACTGTTTACTCGATCCCGTCTCTACATACCGTATCCAACGTACTTCTTGCGAGCCTCGCTTGTTCAGACTTCTTGTTGGCAGTATTTGGACTGCCATTGGCAGCATATGCGAATGTCCGCTCAGGAGTAAATATTAGAGATACTTCAATCAAAGCAGATATCCTCTACATACCAGTCTATGTATCTTTTCCTGTTTCTGCATGGCATCTATTATTTATTTCACTTGATCGGTATTTTGCAATCTCCTATCCATATAAATACCAGGCTCGTGCAACAATCCAGAGAACATTTTACCTCATCATATTTTCGTGGGTGATCGGAATCACCTGGGGCCTAGTGCCGTTGTTCGGTGGATTAGAGATAGATGAGGACTGCCTTTCAGATATTTGTCGAACTTTAAATAATTCATCACTTCGAGTTCACGAGATAATGAGTTCAGCCTTTGTAATTACTGTATTTATTGCAATTGTCTTAATTTATGCTAGGGTATTTTCCATTGTAAAAAGGCTTTCGTTTAATGTACGAGATATACCAAGATCAAATAGTATACCCATTCCAAGAAATACTATCGAGCAAGCATCACTGCGTAACACTTACATTAAAGTTACCGCAATGGTAGTTGGAGGATTTTTCATCAGCTGGTTACCAATGGTGGTTTATATGATACTCAACACTGAATATAAACCTCACAACGTATCGCTAAACATTCTCAAAACTCTAGCAGAATGCACAAGTCTCTGCAGTATTTCATTAAATCCGTTAATTTACAATTTCATGTTAAAGAGTTTTCGAGATGGCTTTCGAAAAACGATCAGAAAAGTAATGGGTAGTTGTACAAATTAACCCTATCGATTGGAGAAATAAGCATACTCAAAATTATAGGTTGCTTTCCATACGTTAAGGCCAAAACAAATTATTGTGCTGGCCATGCCCGACCGACCTAAATTTTAAATTATTGTGCTGGCCATGCCCAACCGACCTAAATTTTAAATTTAAAAAAAAAAAAATTTTCCTACTGACCTACTCATTTTTTTGGATTTTCCCGAAACGTGGCCTACACATTTTTTTTTTTTTTTGCCTAATAAGAGAGAGAACTCGGCTGTCAAATATTGGAATATTCCTGTAAGCTCCGCCCTTTGGATATTGTTGTTAAATTTAAGATGACTCAAAACGACAGCGTAAAACATGCAGGCCTATTTGTGGAACGTGTGCTTGATTGTAGACCTGTTTTGATTGGTTAATTGTTAGATTTGATTGACATTCACCAGAAAGATGTAATGACTCTGGTGGGCTTTCCTTCAACACTATGAACGTCGTGAGTAAAAAAACAAATTAGAATAGAACATAAAATAGAGAAACTCGTATTTAATACAAATTATTGGTTTTAATATCTACAACCTCAAGCAGCTCACCAACCAAAAAGAAAACAGAAAATGTATCGGTTATTATTATCTTTTTTCCACAGATTCAACATCGTAATTCTAGTCACATGGTACAAAAGGAACCATTTTCTAATAGTAGCTTAACTCTTACCTTACCTATTGGCCGTGATGCGTCTCGTGTATATTTTATTTACTATTATGGGAAAATGAATAAAGTTTGTTAGTGAACATATGCAAATATATGTAATGTAAATCGGGTAAACAGTTTGCCGCCTCTTTTTTTTCTATCATGCTCTCGATTTACCTTACGAGCTGACACTTGACCCCATCCCATTACCCCACCAGACATTAAAAAGCTATTAATTTTTAATCAGAACTCTCATCAATAATGTAACGGTTTCCTGTAATGTTTTGTAAAATGTTTGATATATGTTTAGAATGTCTAATACAGCTGTTGTCACATGTACGAGCGTTTCTGCTTTGAAATTGAAAGATGTTAATACTGTATTTGTTTCATTTAAGACAATTTTAAATATAAGCATTATGTTCCTACAAGGCTTTATGTTTCTGTGACTAAAGTTATAAAAAAAACATAATTTTCTTTAGTAGTGTTTTAATAGTATTTTTGTTTTTCCTGTTTTTTACTTTATACTTTTTAGTGACTTTTTTGTTGCAATTTCAACATCACTTCTCATTATGGCAAAATGAAAAAAAGCCCTATGTTCTGACATAGTAAGTCTAGTTATTATTATTATTAATATTTGTCACGTATATATTTGTTATTATTATCATCATCATACTTGTCGTTGATTGGTGATCAATTTGGAATAGAAAATTCTACTTATAATTCATGGCCGACAGAAACTGCCCCGGGGGGGGCAGTTTTTGGCAGAAAATAAAAAATGTTCCCTGTAATTAAATAAAAGTGACAATAAATGCCATCATTTTTAATTTATTTGTCTCAATTCTTATAGTAATTTACTGCACAAAATTCTTAACTATCACATATAAACAAAATTGTTTAATACAGGTCCAGTTAAAAACAACTTTTGGGACACTGGTAAAACCTCAAGGGCATACTGTGTATCGTTTTGTATCTTGTAGTAAACACCAGTAAAACTATAAGGCATCATGTGTCCCATTTTGTATCTTGTGGTAGAAAACACAGGTAAAACCTCAAAGGCATACTGTGTCCGTTCTGTATCTTGTAGTAAACACCAGTGAAACCTCAAGGGCATACTGTTTCCCAATTCGTATCTTGTAGTAAAGAATGGTAAAACCTCAAGGGCATAATGTGTCACATTTTTTATCTTGTAGTTAACACGGGTAAAATTTCAAGGGCATACTGTGTCCCATTTTGTATCTTGTAGTAAACACAGGTAAAATCTTAAGAGCATAATGTGTCCTGCTTTGTATCTTGTAGTAAACACGGGTAAAACCTCAAGGGCATACTGTGTCCCGTTTTGTATCTTGTAGTAAACACCAGTAAAACTATAAGGCATCATGTGTCCCATTTTGTATCTTGTGGTAGAAAACACAGGTAAAACCTCAAGGGCATAATGTGTCCTGCTTTGTATCTTGTAGTAAACACGGGTAAAACCTCAAGGGCATACTGTGTCCCGTTTTGTATCTTGTAGTAAACACAGGTAAAATCTTAAGAGCATAATGTGTCCTGCTTTGTATCTTGTAGTAAACACGGGTAAAACCTCAAGGGCATACTGCGTCCCGTTTTGTATCTTCTAGTGAATACTGGTAAAACCTCAAGGGCATACTGCGTCCCGTTTTGTATCTTCTAGTGAATACTGGTAAAACCTCAAGTGCATACTTTGTCCAGTTTTGTATATTGTAGTAAACACTGGTAAAAACTCAAGGGCATACTGTGTCCCATTTTGTGTCTGCTAGTAAATACTGGTAAAACCTCAAGTGCATACTGTGTCCCGTTTTGTATCTTGTAAACACAAATAAAACCTCAAGGGCATATTGTGTTCTCATTGTATCTTGTAGTAAACATGGGTAGAATCTCCAGTGTATACTGTGTTCTGTTAGTATCTTGTAGTAAAGAATGGTAAATTCTCAGGGCATACTGTGTCCCATTTTGTATCTTGTAGTAAACACATGCAGAAACTCCAGTGTATACTGTTTCATGTTATATATCTTGTAGTAAACACAGATAAAAACCTCAAAGGCATACTGTGCTCCATTTGCATCTAGTAGTAAAGGCGGAGGTCAGGGTTTCAATCCCTCGCTGTGCATTTTGCTTGTGCCCTTGAGCAAGTAGTAGTATCTGCATTGCTCCTCTCCACCCGCCCAAGAGTATAAATGGGTACCAGTATAAATGGGTACCAGTCAATATTGTATCCCATTTGTATCTTGTAGTAAACACTGATAAAATCTCCCGTACATAGGTTGCTTATATCTTGTAGACAATGGTAGCATATTTCCAGTGAATACTGTGTCTCATTCCAGCATTTACATTACAATTAGTTCACTAATAAATTTACAGTGAAATTTTCAGCAACATTATGCATTTAGACCAATCTCATCTTCATATTCTTTATCAGATATCTGGAATTACAAACAGCAATAATTATAATAAAAATAATACTTTGATGAAGATTCATCTATCCAGGATGTAAATAATATAATATTATTGTTATTTATCTGCCAAATAACATGACACTTTACCAAACAAGATTTAGAAAATAATAAAAACAACAAAAAGTGTAATATTAATACCATATGAGATCAGTGATATGTTATGATCATGAACTAATTAAAATGGTATTCTTATTTTGTAGAAAAGAATTATAAATATACATATACATTATAAAGAAAAGTAAAAAACATCTCAGCTAACACCTGTATGTTATAATATGCTCATTACAGTGTACAAAGCGACTGATTTGTAGAAACATAAATATGTATTTATAACATAATATCACAACTCAATAACATCAAAACTTTTTATTAATGTCATTATATTATCTGACATCAACTAACCACAACGAACTTGCAAACGTTGGAAGAGGTTTTTGCTGGAATTCAGTTTAAAAACAGTAATTCATAGAAGTAGCAGTCTATAATTATTTTTAATTGGTTAAATCCTGTAATGAGATGTAGTTTGTGGAGCATTAAATGCTTTTTGTACTACTTGTATATTAACCCCAAAAGTGCTAAGTCTACGTTAAATGTCAAAGCAGCAATAAAAATCATACGGTTTTTACTATTGTCTATGTTTTCATACATCCTTATTACTAAAGCTCTTTCCAGATTATCACAGTTTTATTGACAAAAAAAATGTTGTATGCCCAGCATACAGATATAATAAGAGTACTAGAGCGCTAACGCCAATGCATTCCATCTTTGAAATATGCACAGCTATGTAGGTGTACTCAACAAGATGGCTGCTGTAGCATTGTTTTCAATGGGGCGCCCTCAACTTAACCTTGAAAGTTTTGAGTAAAAAAATAAAACTTGAGCGTTGCAGTGTTGCATTGTAGGGTATATGATTTTGATTTTTATTCATCAGTACTTTATTAATAATATTAGATACTCCACTAGGCCTCTTTTTGCCTACGCTAGTATAATAATTTATTAAATGTTATTAATAATAATGATTAATGAAATAATAGTTTGTCAGAGGGTTTATTTATATAATATGTATAATAAGCCTGTAGGTGGCGCTTTCCTACGACGGCCATCTTGTTGAGTACATATACACACTAGTTGTTTAATAGCTGTATGATGCCCCACGATGAGCGTACTGTATATGATCATGATGTCATGATGATGATGTTATGTCATTTAAAAGCATGTCATGTTTTAGTCAAATTTGACAGTCTGTGTCCAATAAAATTACATCTTTAAAGTTAGTCTGAGAGTGCTGCCTCTTCATTACTTTAAGAATTATAATTGTTAAGAATAACACGGCTACCACTACTGTACTTCTATCTGTACAAGGCCGTAATAGCTGTTGATCTTTGCAGTATATAATACTGCATCCAATACTTCAAACGGTTAACAAAAATCTAAAAAAATTTAAACAATACACAATTTGTTTGTTTATATGCCTTGACCTTTTACATGGACATGTACAACGGAAACTCCAAGATGGTTTGTTGATAGATGCAATTAATTAACATACAAACAAATTCTACTTTTAAAAAGAACAAGCAATAAAATACCTTGCCCCTCTTGAGTTTCTTCACTAGCATGGCATCTTTGGCAAGTTCAGCCAAGTCCTCTTCATCAAACTAATTAAAAATAGCAATACAGGTTAACGATCTTAAATTCACAATAAAATAACATATGTACAATAAAAATACAAATAAAATACCACTAAACAGCCCTAATCACTTGAGTATGTTTTCTACAACATTGTACAAGTATATTTTTATATAGTTATATGAATAATGAATGAAGAATTCAATTGATTCAGTCAGTTGAGAGATCTTACTTGTTGCTGTTTTCTTTTCTTTGACAACTCTTTCCGCTGTCTTCTGTCCTGTCGCTTGTTTTTCTTTTCTTTGTTCTGAGACCAGGCTGTTTGTTTTCTCTGAAAATAACAAAGTTAGTATGAGCACTAATTTAAAATGTTTATCAGCAGGTTTGTAATCTCAGATCTTGTTGTGCATGTATGTTGTATGTTTATATATTTCATACCCATTAGACTATTTTTTGTTATCCAATCTGTTATACAGTTACAGTAAAACCAATTATGAATTATTATTACTTGCTGTTAATATGCATGGTATGTGTGTGTACAGCTGTCTATCTATGAATATCATAAAAATTGTGAAATTGTCTTACTTTAAACTGTTTCTGCTTTCCTTTTTGTTTTCCCTCTTCCTGTAGCTTCAGTTTCTCCTGACGGTGTTTTTCTCTTGATTTTTCCCTGATATATCCAGATATTGAAAATTCATAATCTGTAGTTTTCAATTCAATTCAATTTCAATTCAACAAACATTTATTTCATCCAAAAGCCAAAAATGTACAATATAAAACAGGGCTTCGATGAGGACTAGCCTAGAAGTAAACTTGTCTCAGCTAGTCCTGAGACTGGATTTACAATAACAAAGAATGACAATAAGAAGCACAAGTAGAACCACAGTAAAACTTAAATGACTTAATGACTATATATATTTGGACGTAAAGTGTATCTTTAGTTCACTCTTAAATTTATTATTATTTTTAATTTCTGTTATATTACTGGGAAGAAAAAACCGAAAGGTCCACTGATTAATCTCAGATAAGAAAGTATAATACATACTCCAAGTATTGAAATACACGCCATCGTCTTGGGTTTCAATATTTCAACATTAATTATGTCATCATCATGATG